AGAAAGTGAGAAGACATATTTAAAGTGCTGAAGGAAACCATTTTCAACCAAGAATATTCTAGTCATCAAATATATTCTTCAACCATGAAGGAGAAATAAAAGCTTTCCCAGCAAACAAAAGCTGGGGGAATTCATCAATACCAGGTCTGTCTTACAAGAAATAGTAAAGAGAGTTCATCAATCTGAAAGAAAAGAATGCTAATGTGCAACAACAAATCATCTGAAGGAATAAAACTTACTGGCAAAAGTAAATAGACAAATTGAGAATATTCTAATACTGTAGTTGTGGTGTGTGAACCCCTCATATCTTTAGTATAAGCACTAAAAAAATGAATGAGGGCTGGATATGGTGGCTCACACCTGTAATCCTAGCACTTTGGGAGGCCGAGGCAGGTGGATCACGAGGTCAGGAGATCAAGACCATCCTGGCTAACACGGTGAAACCCCGCCTGTACTAAAAATACAAAATATTAGCCAGGCGTGGTGGCGGCGCCTGTAGTCCCAGCTACTTGGGAGGCTGAGACAGGAGAATGGCGTGAACCCAGGAGGCGGAGCTTGCAGCGAGCCGAGATCGCACCACTGCACTCCAGCCTGGGCGATAGAGTGAGACTCCGTCTCAAAAAAAAAAAAAAAAAAAGCAAAAAACAAAAAAGATGAAAATTATAACATGGAAACCTTGAGGACATTAAGGGAAATAAGCCTCAAAATAAGTCACAAAAGACTAAAACTTATCTGAGATATTTAAAGTAGTAAAATTCATACAGTAGTAGTTGTCAGGGGCTGGAGTAGGGAATGATGAGGAGTGGTTTAAAGCAGCGGTCCCCAGCCTTTTTGGCACCAGGGACTGGTTTCATGGAAGCCAATTTTTCCATGCATCAGGGACAGAGGAGGGGGCAGATCGTTTCAGGATACAACTGTTCCACCTCAGATCATCAGGCATTAGAGTCTCATAAGGAGCACACAACCTAGATCCCTCACATGCACAGTTCACAATAGGACTCACGCTCCCATGAGAATCTAATGCTGCTGCTGATCTGACAGGAGGTGGAGCTCAGGTGGTGATGCTGGCCCGGTTCCTAACAGGCCACAGACTGGTACCAGTTTGCAGCCTGGGGGTTGTGGGCCCCTGGTTTAAAGGGTATAATATTTTAGTTTCGTAAAGTTGAAAAAACTACTGGATATTAATTGACAACAATGTGACTGACAACGCTACTGAACAGTATAGTTAAATATGGGTTAAGATGATAGATTTTAAGTTACCTATAATTTGCCACAATTTATTTTATTTTTTTATTTTTTTGAGACAGTCTCACCCTGTCACCCAGGCTGGAGTGCAATGGAACAATCTCAGCTCACTGCAACCTCTGCCTCCTGGATTCAAGTGATTCTCCCTGCCTCAGCCTCCTGAGTAGCTCCTGAGTAGCTCCGCCTCCTGAGGGATTACAGGCACCCGCCACCATGCCCAGCTAATTTTTGTACTTTTAGTAGAGATGGGTGCTTCACCATGTTGGCCAGGCTGGTCTCAAACTCCTGACCTCAGGTGATCCGTCCACCTCTGCCTCCCAAAGTGCTGGGATTACAGGCGTGAGCCACACGCCTGGCCATAAATGTTTTTAACGTAGTTCCCAGCAGGAAATCCTCGCAGATTTCTGTCTGAACTCTTTCAACATTAGATTTACATATACTAATAGGTTCTTCCTCTGATGTGAACTTTTTCATGCTGAATGAGGTGATGATTTTGGTGACTTTCCTGCATTCACTGCCCTAAGCCCTTTCTCCAGTGTGAATTCTCTGATGTTTAATGAGGCTGGAGTTGTATTTAAACACTTTGCTGCATTCACCACACTCATGAGACCTTTCTCCAGTGTGAATTTTTTGGCACTGACCATTATTACATTTGTTACTGAAGTCTTTTCCACATTCCCTTAACTTAAAAGGACTTTCTCCAGTCTGAGACTGCTGATGTGTAATAGGGCTCGATTTAATCTTAAACAATTCCCCACATTTACTGCACTCATGAGGCTTCTCCCCAGTGCAAACTTTATGATGTTTCATGAATGTAGAGCGGTATCTAAGAAACTTCCCACAGTTGCTGCACTCGTAAGGCTTTTCTCCCGTATGATCTCTCTGATGAATAATGAGTTTGTTGCTATCTCTAAAAAATTTCCCACATTCACTACACTCGTAAGGTCTTTCTCCAGTGTGAACTTTCTGATGTCTATTCAGTGTACAGCGATATCTAAAGGATTTCCCACATTTGCGGCATTTATAAGGCTTTTCTCCAGTGTGAATTCTCTGATGAATAACAAGTTTGTAGCTGTCCAAAAAGAATTTCCCACATTCACTGCATTCATAAGGCTGTTCTCCAGTATGGATTTTCTGATGACTATCAAGATAAGCCTGTGTAAGGAAGGCCTTCCCACATTCACTACACCCATAAGGCCTTGGCCTGATGTCAATCCTCTCATGTTGAATGAGGTCAGACTTTTTGAAAATGCTTCAGTGTGGATTTTCTGGTGCTGAACTAGGTGGGACTTTCTAACAAAGGCCTTCCCACATTCAGTGCACTCATAAGGCCATTCTCCAGTGTGAATTTTCAGGTGCTGAACAACATTATGTTTGAGGCTAAAGGCTTTCCCACATTCGTTACACTTATAGGGCTTTTTGCCAGTATGAACTCTGTGGTGCATATTGAGTGTGGCACGGTGACTAAAGAATTTTCCGCATATGCTGCATTCAAAAGGCCTTTCTCCTGTATGAACCCTCTGATGTCTACCAAGTGTGAAGCTGTCCATAAACAATTTCCCACATTCGCTACACTCGTAATGCCTCTCCCCAGTGTGAACTTTCTGATGTCTAATGAGTTTGGAGTTATACATAAAAAATTTCCCACACTTGTTGCATTCGTAGGGCTGTTCTCCAGTATGGATTTTCTGGTGACCAACCAGATGAGCCTGTGTAAGGAAAGCCTTCCCACACTGGGTGCATTCATAAGGTGTTGGTCTACTGCGAATCTCCTGATGTTCAATGGGGTCAGACCTTTTTGAAAGAAAGCCTTCAGTGTGAATTTTCTGGCGCTGAACTAAGTTGGACTTTCTAATAAAGGTGTTTCCATATTCAGTGCCCTCATAAGGCCTTTCTCCAGCATGATTTTGCTGATATTTAATAAGGTTGGAGTTGTACCTAAACAATTCCTCACATTCACTAAACTCATAAGGCCTCTCCCCATTATCGGTTTTTTGGTGCTCAAACAGCCTGTGTTGGTGGCAAAAGTCTTTCCCACCTTGGCTGGAGTTGAAATCATTCTGTTTACCTTGAAAGGTTTCCCCATCCTGAGTATCCCTGTATAGCTTCTGCCCACTGTTCAAGACATGTTGCTGGAGAAGGTCTGAGCTGGCAGTAAAATCCCTGCCACCCTGTGTGCATGTGAAGTTCCTCTCTCCCCCGTGAGCACTGTAGTTCACAAATGAAGGCCTCCACTCATCACTTCTGGTGAGCTTCTCTCTAGCCTGCTCCTTTTGCTGCAGGTCATGCTCTGCTGCACACGTGTCCAGCCCTTGCTCAGGGTGTGTTCCGTCGTGCTCAGCCAGCTGCAGAACGTCCTTCAGAAGTGAGCTACATGTCTTGCAGGGCTGGGCCTTCAGGGTGGACAAAGCTGGCTTTGGAGCTGTGACCTGTAACACTCTTACAGAAACACATTGCTTGGAAAGTACCTCCTCATCCTTGGCTCCATACCAACAACCTGTAAGAACAGAAATGCTGGTGAAGTGCATGTGAACTCTGGAGGGAGGAGGCAGCCCCATCACAAATGTCTGTGAGACACACCCACAAATGAGGGCACAGGATTGGTCACAGGCAAGGAAATAAGGCCAGTGAGAAGAAGGCCCACTGTTCAGAGGTGGGCCTGTCAAGTGTGTGTAGTGGGGGAACCCTGGTGGTAAGGACACAAGGGAGAAGTACCAAGCAGGGAGGGCAGGCGGGGTCTCCAACTCGCTTCTCTACAAATGGCTTTCAACGGGCCATGACTGTTGTGTCCAGATCCAGAGAGATCTGATTGTGTGAGAGCGAGTATTCATGGACTACTGAAGGATACATGCAGACCTCATAACACCTAAAGTACAGGTCATACATTAGACAGCACTGCAAAGGGAGTGGTGGCAGAGAATGGTGGAGAGATGAAGGCTGGATAGGAGGCGTCAGAGGTGGAAGCCAGGGGTTGGAAGTCAGAGTAAAAATAACAACAGGGAAGGAAAGGAAGAGTGAGGGGTGGCCAGTGGCCCTGCAACAAACAATAGTGGTCACAAGGAAGTTCTGAATGTGATCTGAATCTAGCCCTGATATCACATCCTTTCCCAGCTTTCACCCACCAGGGCCAAGTCCTTCTGAGTGTCTCTTGCCATTAATAGAGGACTATCCACTCCGCCAGGCACCCAGAGACCTCCCCCTTGCTCAAGGTGAGCAACTATCTAGCTGCAGCATAAATCAAGCTAGGGGAAAGGCAGGGAAAGGGAGGGGACAGCATGTACACAGAGCAATAAACCCAGGACACGCTGCATTCTAAAGTTACCAGAACATACAGTAGAGAGTCCTGCAGAAATAACTTCACAATCCTCACAAGTGGTGACCAGGGAGGTGCCTGAAATTCCTAGCACAGACACTGTCTCCAAGTATGTCAGCAAGGGGAACAGGGAAACCCTTGGATGGAGGTTTCATGCATCTGGACAGAGTAATCAAATCAGGGACAGGCACCACCATTAGGGTATCTTAAAGAAACCTGGGCTGGGCGCGATGGCTCACGCCTGTAATCCCAGAACTTTGGGAGGCCGAGGCAGGCAGATCACCTGAGGTAGGGAGTTCGAGACCAGCCTGACCAACATGGAGAAACCCCGTCTCTACTAAAAATACAAAATTAGCCGGGCGTGGTGGCACATGCCTGTAATCCCAGCTACTCGGGAGGCTGAGGCAGGAGAATCGCTTGAACTTGGGAGGCAGAGGTTGTGGTGAGCCGAGATCATGCCATTGCACTTCAGCCTGGGCAACAAGAGTGAAACTCCGTCTCAAAAAAAAAAAAAACCTGAAGATTTCTGACTTCCGAACCTTATCGTGTAAAGTTTCAGAGCAACAGAAGCTGAGGCTGCCTAAGGGGAGGTAGTAAAGTATATACAGCTCAGCTCTGGCTGCCTCATCACATTTGCCAGGAAACCAGGAGTGGACAGGACATAGCACCCACAATCTGGTGTGAGAAACACAGAGTTGTCATGGAAAAGAGCAAAAAAACAGCACCCAGCACAAGACGCCAGAGTAGGTATGAAGGCCTTACCTACTGATGACAAAAGTGCCAAGTTCTCCAACATCACATTGCTGTGCAGGTGTCTCTGAGCATCATTAAGGATCCCCATTCCTCCCGGGAGAAATATATGGCCACATCCTCAAAGACCATACACTCCTGCCAAAATTATGACACTTCAGTCTGTGAACAACTTCTTCTTCTGTGTTTCCTTAGATCTGTATTTATCTACTTAAAATCTGAGAATTGGAGGGCCAGACTAACGGCCGTTGTTTTTATATTTCCCTTGCAATCCAGATCCCATATGCTGAAGCACTATCTAATGCTCATACATGATTATTTCTCCTATCCTAATCAACACAAGCCCTGTCACCACACAATAAAGGATAATCTCTAAGCCCTAAGGCTGCCAGACTTATGCAAACCACCGAGTTTGAAGCTCCTCATCCCGCCTTGCATGTCTTTCCTGCCAAAACCCCAATACGGTCTCTGATGTATGCTTTCCCTTCAGTCATGCCTCTGCCTCCTGACCAAATCTAGCATTTCCTGTGGCCTGGTACAGCATGGCATTCCCCCTGCACTAAGGAAATGAAAGTAATAAAAATTATTTCAATGCCATTAGCCTCTCTGTCATCACTCACTCTTTTCCAAAAATTAAAATCTAGTGGGCCAATCACTGATACACTTTCCTCTCCAGAATCTTCAGTGTTTCCCCAATACCCACACATATCCATCCCCTGCTTAGCCTCCACCCATTTCCCAAGGAGGAAGAGACTCCACATCCTGGTAGCATCTGCACTTCTCTCACCCCCACTGCTACTGATTTTTGAGTCCAGCACAGCTCAGAGATGGGTGGGGAGAAAGCAAAAGCATCATCAAAGCCTAGCCCAGGGCGCCTATCTTCTTCTTCTTTTTTGAGAGGGAGTCTCGCTCTGTCGCCCAGGCTGGAGTGCAGTGGCTCACTGCAACCTCCCAGGTTAAAGCAATTCTCCTGCCTCAGCCTCCTGAGTAGCTGGGATTACAGGCACCTGCCACCACTCCTGGCTAATTTTTGTATTTTCAGTAGAGACGGGGTTTCACCATGTTGGGCAGGCTGGTCTCAAACTCCTGACCTCATGATCCACCCACCTTGGTCTCCCAAAGTGCTGGGATTACAGACGTGAGCCACTGCGCCTGGCCAGCCCTACCTTCTTTTATCACCCCGTTTCCTTGGGGTCTCCAAATCTTGCCTCCCAGACACCCAAACTTAGACTCACTCTTCTCCCTTATGTGCCCATTGCCAGGGCTGGGGCCATGCATTCACGCTCCTCCTCACCTTCACATCTCGCTTTGGACAGTACATCTCTCATGTATCTAATTCCTCCACTCTTGCAATACTAACAGCAGGCCCAACCAGGAGCATTTCCATGGCCTCTCAAGATGCCACTCTGTACATGGAGTCCTGCAGTGCACCAGAACCTATTTGCCTCTGGGCTGCCCAGAATATTGTAATGTTCCTAGTGCCTGGGGCAGCACCAAGCCCTGTTCTGAAGGTCTCCCCGCACAGTCTCGTTTCCTGGTTTAACCTCAGCCCTCCAAACCCAAGTGACAACCTCATAGTTCTTGCATACCTCCTCTGAGTTCCAGATCTTGGCTGTCTCTCTCTTTTGCAATGTACATGCTGTCCCATAAGCAGTCACAACCTTCTCTATCCCCATAATCCTAATCCAAAGCCCAGATACACTGACCTCCCCAATGCTATCCCCACCCCAGGCCTAGCAATGCTCCTTGCTGATCGCATCTTCCCCTAAAGTTGTCTCACAGTTTGCATGAAACTACCCAGGTCCAAGCAAGACTCGCCACAAAACCCTGGTGAGTTTGTGGAGATGCCTCACCATCCACCTCATAAGTCTCCCCTCAAAAGCCCTTCCTTATACTCCACAGGCCGCCCCCAACATAACACACAAACATACACACGTACCTTCAGTCGATCCACTCTCATCTGTCTTTGTGATACCCACCAACACCATCCAGGTGCCCAATGGAGACACCCAGTTCTCAGTCTGTTCCTTCTCCTTCCTTCCCACTAACACCATTGCTTCCTAAGTCTGACCCTAGTTTCACAACAGTTCAGCTATCATGTAGTGGATGTCTCCATCCTAAACATCTCCACTGAACTCCATTCTTGTGTGTACAACTGCCAGCCTGGCACCTCCACTCAAAGTCTCTGAAACATTTTTTGTGTATTTTTGTTTTTGTTTTGGCTTCGATTTTTGTTTTTGTTTTGGCTTGCTTTTTTGAAGACAGGGTCTTACTCTGTTGCTCAAGCTGGAGTGCAGGGCACAATCATGGCTCATCGCAGCCTTACTTCCCAGGCTCAGGTGACCCTCCTGCCTCAGCATGCCGATTAGCTGAGACCACAGACAGACGCCACCACACCCAGCTATTTATTATTATTTGTAGAGACAGGGTCTCCCTATGTTGCCCAGGCTGACCTCAAGCGATCTTCCACCTCTGCCTCCCAAAGTGCTGGGATTACAGGTGTGATCCACCATGCCTGGCCACTGGAACATTTTTTACTTGGCCAAAACTTGGTTCCTCATATGCTCTACTACATAAACACTCCCCCTACTACAGAACTTACTACATCTTAGTTGCTGGAACATCCATCCTTCCAAACAAGGCCAAAACTGTGGGGCCATTCCTGACCCCCTCTTCCATCTCAGCTCCCAAGCTTCCTTGCTCTCTACATTATAAAATACAGGCAGCTCTAGATCAAACACATACAGAAGCCCCCCACTCCTCCCACTTCCACCACGGCCACTCTGGTTCAGTCACCAACAACCTCCACCTGGACTGTTGCTGGACCGATCACCCAGGTATCTGTGGCTCCATCTTCACCCCCACATGATCTTCCATTCTGCAGGCAGAGGGAGCCACTAAAATCTGAGTCAAGACACCTCTTTTTCCCCCCTGCTCAAACTTTCCCCAGTTACCATCACCCTCAGACGAAAAGCCCAGAACCTTAGACTGCCATTCCATGCTGATCCCTGCATGCCCCAACCTCCTACCCTGCTGCCATACTCTATCACGACCAGATGGAACATGAATTTTCAGTTCACTAAACATCCCAGCTAAGTCTCACCAGTAAGCATCTGAACTTTCTATATTCTGTGCCTGAATGCCCTGCCACATCTTAGACCATTAGTTGTCGGAACCAGGACCACTCTATAACCAGGGGCTGAGTTCTGACCCCTGGTTGTGGTGGAACCACAGTCTTCAGACCCAAGGAAGGGAAAAACATGAAGTTTCAGGACACCACCTTTCCCTATATCAGCATGCCTAAAATACTGGAGAGGTAAGTGGTGGGGGGCTGGGGGAGAGAGCGTGAGAAACCATTGACTTACCTGTGCAGGGTCCTTATGCATTGCTGCCACTGCCATGGACCCTGTGGGAAGATGTGACAGACTTGTACAGTTACTACTTGAGACCATCATTACGAGACTGAATGAAGGGGGACGAATGTAGAAATGAAAACTTAAGACAAAAGAAACTGTTTTAAAGAAGGCGAACCGAGGAAGAAGAGAGCTCCCTGCTTCTAGTGAGCAAAGGCAGCCCCTAAGCTTCCACAGCCCTCCGGGTAGAATGAAAAGGAGGAGGAGGTAACAACTGGTCAGCCGCTTAATTGATCACAAGTTCACATTGTTAACAGGCTTCAATTATGCCTAATCACAAGAAATTCACTTGTGCCTGGGTTGTGACTACCTTCAGCATTCCTTCTGGGGGGCAGACGCAGTTTGTCAGTTTGCCAACATCCTGCTTTCATGAGAAACAGTTTGCTGTTTACTCATATGGCCTCCAGTGGTATACTCAGTTGATCACAACCCTCATTCTTTTGGCCTGTAACAGGAAGAGGCAAGCCATGAGTATCAGGACAGTATTGCAGCATCCTACAGGCTGAGCTGTACAACCATCTCTGCCCTGTACTGGAGCAAAGTAATCTGAAGTTACAGCAAGTCCTAAGTTCAGTGCTACCTCTTAGCAGCTCTGTGTCTTTGGACAAGGACTGAACCTCTCTAAGCCTCAGTGCCCTTATGTGTAACATGGAGATTAAAAGGGTTCCCACTTCATAGGGCTCATATTGACAAGAAGCATAAGTAGTACACACTATGTATAAGCATTACTTTCTACAGGATTAATGGTTTTGTACATGTTTTCAGCACAAATGAAGTAGAAGGGTTTCGAAAATTTGAGTATTTTTCCCACTTTTTTTTTTTTTTTTTTGAGACGGGGCCTTGCCCTGTTGCCCAGGCTACAGTGCAATGACACAATCTCGGCTCACTGGAACCTCCGCCTCCCAGGTTCAAACGATTCTCCTGCCTCAGCCTCCCGAGCAGCTGGGATTATAGGCTCCCGCCACCACACCCGGGTAATTTTTGTATTTTTAGTAGAGACGGGGTTTCATCATGTTGGCCAGGCTGGTCTCGAACTCCTGACCTCGTGATCTGCCGCCTTCGTTTCCCAAAGTGCTGGGATTAGAGGTGTGAGCCACTGTGCCCAGCCCCCACTTCTTAATGTTTTAAGGAAATGTGATATATAAAAAGATTTGTACTATAAGCAGAGTTACAGGTAAATTAACATTCTAACAATAAATATTGTAATACGTTTAAATTATTGATTACATCTATTTCCAATTGCCTATGTGTACATATTTAGAAGGATATTGGCTGAGAAACAAACAAACAAAAAATAGCCCAGAGCTGTCTGACCTACACAAAATGTATCAGGCTCAGACAGGCAAGAATATGAGATGTCAATCACATCCCTGAACCGATGCCTGAGAACAACTGTTTAAAGACATTTTGTTCCTGACTAGCTGTCTCACCTATTATCTTCGTGTTTCTGTAATCTATAATATAAAGAACAATGTATAGCCAATAAAAACTTACGTTACTTTAACATAAGTTATTGGTAAACAACTCAGAAACTGCTTCTTTTTTCCTTAAAAAAAAAGTCACTGCTGCTAATTGAAGTGTATATTCAGGACAACTTGAATCTAGGGTCTCAGATGGCTATTATCAACATGTGAACTCTCTTTAAACTAGATTCTGACTTGCTTGGTTATTTAAGATTGATACAGTTCATTAGTGTTTAAGTCAATTACCTGTTTTTACATCCCTAAGTTAATGAGTTGCAGGATGGGGCTGAGCAATCAATCAGTTACTGGTCCGTTCAGCAAACAGGTCTGCCTGCCAGATAATTCAGTAAAGGGAGCTTGCTGGAGGCCCTTAACTGTGGTGGAGGATATGAGAAAGCCCTGCCTAGTTTTGGACCCACTTGCTCCATGGCCTTATCTTGTTCCCCAAAGAGTGGCCCTCAGGGCTGGCTGAGTTAGAAGGGTGGAGTGACTACAATATCTCATGCCTCAGTCTCTGTAGTCCAGGGCAACTCCTTATCCATCCAGGCCTCTTTTTCAACTGAAACAGACCAAACTCTTAGCCCGTATCTGCTCCCTTCTGCAGGGAGTACCAGAGATGCCCTCCCTACCATGGTCTTTCCTCCAAATCTGAGCCCTCCCCTCCCTCAGCCCATACTAAAAAACAATGTTAGGATTCTTCCTTCTCAATCTGATCCACAGGCCAACTTCTCAAGTGCACAACTTCTAACTCATTTAAAGCTCCAGGCCAGCTACCTTCCTTGACCTTTAGAAATTACGTCCACCTACCCATGTGATGTCACCCCAAATCCAACCCAGGATCTTCTGTCTGAAACTTGCTCCTTAAGCTGATATCTTTAATTCCATTCTTTCAGATTTTTCAGGCCAAAACAAAACCTACGGAAGACACCCTTCACTACCGACTTTCTTTCACAGCTGTTTGATGCAGCAGGAAATCCTCTGAGATCCATCCAGAATCTCATCACATCTCCCCTCTACTGCAACTCCTCTGGCCCAGCCCTACCATAACTCAAGGGGGTCTCCTCGGCGGTCCCCCTGCCCCCGTTCAACATCATGTTTTCCCCAACTTCAAACTTTCTAACTCTGGGCGTGACCCTCCCATTCGTCCTCCCTGGACAGCCCTCTATGGCTTTCCGCGGCTCCACCGCCCTTCCAGGGGAGACTCCGCCTCAACCTCTGCTCCTTGGAGACAAAGAGGCTCGGGCCTCCCGTTCTGCAGTGCCTCCAAGCCCCAGAGACGTGTCGGTCTCCGACGGGAGCTCCCCCGCCTCATCCCACCGCAGTCCCAGTCCCGGGCACCCCACACAAGAACGCCCCTCTCTTAGAGACACAAGGGCCTAACCTGCAGGGCCCCTCCTTCGGACTTCAGCACTGGGAGGAGGGGTTGGGCGAGGCGGCCTGGGACGCTGCACGCACCTCGGTCAGGTTCATCGGCGCGGCCTCCTCCAGTCCAGCCAGGGAAGAGCGGGGCGGGAACGGCGGTCACCTGGACGCTGAGGGAGGCAGGGGTGCCTGCAGCCGACTCAGCCGATCCGCACTTTAGCCTCTGTGTAGAAGGAACACCGCTTCTCCTTTTTCTGCTCTGTCACCTCAGTCCCGACCCAGAGCTCTGGAACTCTCTAAATCAGTAAACAGATCTCTAGGCAGCCACGCTAACATAACCATGAGGGCGCCGCCGCAAGTCCCGCCCACACAACTGAGACCTCGTTAGTCCTCTCTCTGCTAAACCGACGGCTACACTCGCTGCTGTGCCCCCGCGGTGTCTTCTGGGTAGTGTAGTTCCCATGCTGCTGCTTGCCCCGCCTCATAATGTAGAGCGCGCTGACCTTACGGAAAAAAGCTGGAGGCCCCTGGAGGAGCGTTGAGAAATGCAGTTCCGGGGCTCTTAAGGACGTGGAGGGGCTTTGCTGACTCTTAAACAGGAAGTAACAAGATTTTACCAGAGGGCTGTCTAAGAAATATTTCAGATAAGTCTGAGAAATATTTCAGAGCCCTGTCGTTTCAGATTGTATTAAGGAAGGAGACCACTACTACTCCTGCGGCCCTCCTCCCCCCACCTTGCCTAGTTCACAAGACAGGAGGAAAGAGAAAAAGAAACAAAAGTCAGATAAAGAGCCAGACAATCTTGGCACCACCACCCGGCCCTAGGAGTTAAAGTAATAATAATAACGTCAATCCCTGGCCTAAACTATTTGTGTTATCTGTAAATTCCAGACACTGTATGAAAAAAGCATTGTAAAACTTTCTGTTCTGTTAACTGAGGCATGTAGGCCCCAGTCACGTTTCCCAGGCTTGCTCGATTTATCATGACCCTTTCACTTGGACCCCTTAAAGTTGTAAGCCTTTTAAAAGGCCAAGTATTTCTTTTCCGGGGAGCTCGGCTCTTAAGACACGAGTCTGCCGACGCTCCCAGGCAAATAAAAAACCTCCTCCTTCTTTAATCCAGTGTCTGGGGAGTTTTGTCTGTGGCTCGTCCTGCTACAGTATGAAGCACAGCAAGTTCCCAAAGGAAGAACATCAGAAGGGACATGGCTGACCATAACGAACTGGCCCTTCACTCATAGCGGTCAGCTATTTTGTGCTTGTCAAGTACACACATACTGAAGCTCTGGAGACTGTTTTTTGATCGTTAGTGTGTTCTGTTGGGACAAGAAAGAAAAGACCCCCACGGGATGGGATGGGGAGTTGAAGGAGGAATATCTTTCTGTCGACGAAAAGGGTGGAACTTTGTTAAATAGTTGAAGAGATTTATTCTGAGACAAATATGAGTGACTAATGGCCCATGACACAGCTCCAAGAGATCCTGAGAACATATGCCCAAGATGGCCCATCTACAACTTGGTTTTAACAATTTAGGAAGACATAAGACATCAGTCAATACATGTAAAATGTACATTGGATCCCTCTGGAAAGGCGGGGCAACTGGAAGGGAGGGGCGGGGCTTCCAGGTCAGGTGGGTTCAGAGATTATCCGATTGGCAATTGGTTGAAATAGCTTTTATCTAAAAGACCTGGAATCAGTAGAAATAGTTGTCTGGGTTAAGATAAGGGGTTGTGGGCTGGGCGCGGTGGCTCACGCCTGTAATCCCAGCACTTTGGGAGGCCGAGGCGGGTGGATCACCTGAGGTTGGGAATTCGAGATCAGCCTGATCAACATGGAGAAACCCTGTCTCTACTAAAAATACAAAATTAGCTGGGTGTGGTGGCACATGCCTATAATCCCAGCCACCAGGGAGACTGAGGCAGGAGAATTGCTTGAACCTGGGAGGCGGAGGTTGCGGTGAGCCGAGACCGTGCCATTGCACTCCAGCCTGGGCAAAAAGAGTGAAACTCCGTCTCAAAAAAAGAAAAAAAAAAAGAGATGAGATGATGACCACACAGCCCACAGTGGCAAACCATTAACATCAATTTCCGAGGAAAAATTCATCTTGTTGATGACCTAACTGAAGAAGACTGATGATTAACAGCACAAACAATAACTGACACCACAGACATCTGTACTAGTTCAGCTTACACAATTCTGACTGAAAAATTAAAGTTGTGCAAACTTTCCACTCAATGAGTGCCAAAGTTTTCCACTGAATCCAGATCAACTGCAGACAAGAGCAGAACCTTCAATGTAAATGTTAAGCAAGTAGGATCAAGATGAAGCATTTCTTTGAAGAACTGTACAGATGAAACATGACTTTATTACTATTATTTGACATGGAGTTTCACTCTTGTTGCCCAGGCTGGAGTGCAATGGCGTGATCTCAGCTCACTGCCACCTCTGCCTCCTGGGTTCAAGCAATTCTCCTGCCTCAGCCTCCCCAGTAGCTGGGATTACAGGCATGTGCCACCATGCCCGGCTAATTTTTGTATTTTTTAGTAGAGAAGGGGGTTTCTCCATGTTGGTCAGGCTGGCCTCAAACTCCTGAGCTCAGGTGATCTGCCCAACTCGGCCTCCCAAAGTGCTGGGATTACAGACGTGAGCCACTGTGCCCACTATGAGATTGTTTTGAGAAAGTTAGCTAAAGATTTAGCAGAAAACCCCTGGGAAAGCTTCACCAGGATTCCTTCACTACAACGCTCCTGCTCATTCCTCTCATCAAATAACTGCAACTTTATGAAAATTCTGATGTAAAATCCTAAGGCATCCACCTTACAGTCCTGATTTGGCTCCTTCTGACTTCTTGTTTCCTACTTTTACAAAATCTTTAAAGGGCACCCATTTTTCTTTAGTTAATATTTAAAAAGATTGCATACACAAGGTTAAATTCCCAGGAACCTCACTTCTTTAGGGATGGACTAAATGCCTGGTATTATCACTTATAAAATTGTCTTGAACTTGATGGAGCTTCTGTTGAGAAATAAAACTTATGTTTTCTTTTTGTTATCTTTTACTTTCATGTTTCCACAAACTTTCTGAAGTCCCCACATATACTAAAAAACTCCTACATTTCAACAAAACCAAATAACCCTAGAGAAGTAAAACAAAAACAAAAACAAAAAATAAAACTCAACCCAGTAGTAAAGCTACTACTAAAAAAAATTAATAAAGTTAAAATTAATAAAGTTAAAAATGATGCAACTGCTATAAAAGAGTGTCCTCAAAAAAATTAAAATAGAATTAACATAGGATGGGAACACTGTAAGAAAGAAATTTTAAAAAATATATTTTTAAGATGAACATAGGGGGCCAAGTGAGCGGATCATGAGGTCAAGATTGATCTTTCACCATCCTGGCCAACATGGTGAAACCCCGACTCTACTAAAAATACAAAAATTATCTAGGTGTAGTGGTATGTGCTTGTAGTCCCAGCTACTTGGGAGGCTGAGGTAGGAGGACTGCTTGAACCTGGGAGGCAGAGGTTGCAGTGAGCTGAGATCACGCCACTGTACTCCAGCCTGGTGACAGAGTGAGACTCAGTCTCAAAAAAAAAAAACCAAAAAAAACCCAAAACATAGGAAGCACCAATTCTGAGTAAATCCTCAAAAGGAATTTAAAGCACAGCCTCAAAGAAACATTTGCACACTCATGCTCATCCGCTATTAACAACAGCTGAGTGGAAACAACCCAAATGTCCACTAATGAAAGGAAAAGGGGCACATACATATATAAGCATGCACCACACTTTTCAGTTAACAATGGGCCACAGGCATGACAGTGGTCCCATGAAATTACAATGAAGCTGAAAAATGCTTATTGCCTAATGACATGACAGCAGTGGTAAGGCAATATATTGATCACATGTTCATGGTGACTCTGGTACAAACCTATTGTGCTGCCAGTCATGTAGAAGTATAACATATGCAATAAAGTACAGTATATAATAATAAATGAGTTACTAGCTTATGTTCTTAGTATACGACACTTTTTATCATTAGGTATTCTCCAACAGTAGAGTATATATGGAGTTGTGTGTATGTATATAAATATACAGGTGTATATACACACAAACACAAACTGTAACACAGCCTCGGGCAGGTCCTTCAGGGGGTATTCCAGAAAAAGGTATTGTTATTTTAGGTGACAGGTCCATGTGTGTCACTGCCGCAGAAGACTTTCTGGAAGAGGATGTGAAGGTGGAAGACAATGACATTAGCCTGATCCTGTGCTGGCCTAGACGAATGTGTGTATCTTAGTTTTTAACAAAAAAAAGTTTAAGTTAGGATATAAAAAATATTTTTGTACAGTTGTACAATGTTTTAAGCAAAACATTATTACAAAATAGTCAAAAAGTCTTTAAAAATACAAGCTTATGAAGTAAAAAATGGTCAGCTAAGGTTAATATATTAAAGAAAAAATATTCTATAAATTTTATTTTGTCCAGCCGGGCGCAGTGGCTCATGCCTGTAATCCCAGCACTTTGGGAGGCCAAAGCAAGTGGCTCACTTGAGGTCAAGAGTTTTAGACCCCTCTGGCCAACATGGTAAGACCCCGTTCTCTACTAAAAATACAAAAATTAGCGGGGCATGGTGGTGGTGCATGCCTGTAATCCCAGATACTTGGGAAGCTGAGGCAGAATTGCTTGAACCAGGAGGTGAAGGTTGCAGGAAGCCAAGATAGCACCACTGCACTCCAGCCTGGGCAACAGAGCAAGATTCTGTCTCAAAAATAAAAATAAAAATAAAAATGTAGTGTTGTCTAAGCATACAGTGTCTATAAAGTCTACAGCACACTAACAATCTAGGCCTTTACATTCACTCACCACTCACTGACTCACTTACAGCAACTTTCAATACTGTAAGCTCCATTCATGGTAAGTTCTCTGTATGTCTATCATTTTTTCTTTTATACTGTATTTTTACTGTACCTTTTCTGTTTAGATATACTTAAAAAGACTTACCACGTGTTCCAACAGCCTACAGTATTCAGCACAGTAATATGCTGTACAAGTTTGTAGCAAGGTGCTATAGGATATACCATACAGCCTAGGCATTGATAAACCCACTCCCCCTCCAAAAAAAGAAAGAAAATCACCTAATAACACTTTTCCCAGGACACTTCCCCTTTGTTACTGTAACACATGACTGTAACAGAATTTTATTCAGCCTTTAAAAAGGATGGAAGTTCTAATGGATTAGAATATGAAACCTTAAAAATATAATGTTAAGCAAAATAAGCCACAAAATAATCCATAAGACCAAAACTTAAGTTTTCTTATATGAGGTACCCAGACTAGTAAAATTCATACAGAGTGGTGCTTGTCAAGAGGCTGGGTGGACTGGGGAATAAGGTTTTAAAAGGTATAGACTTAGTTTCATAAATTGAAAAGACTTCTAGATATTCATTGCACAATGTGAATGACTTAACAGTACTGAACTATACACTTTAACATGGTTATGATGTTAGATTTTATGTTATCTGTATTCTACAAGAATACTTTTTTAAAAACCTTGGTCCCAGTGCTAAATCAGAGTAGATTTCTGTGTGAAGTCTTTCCATATCTGCTTTATATACACATTCTTTATCTGGTGTGAACTTTCTGGTGCTGAATGAGATGAGAATTTTGGTTAAAGACTCTCCCACATTCACTACACTGATAAGGTCTCTCTCCAGTGTGAATTCTCCGATGTTTAATGAGGCTGGAGTTGTATCTAAAGACTTTCCCACATTCACTGCATTCATAAGGCTTTTCTCCAGTATGAACTCTCTGATGACTAATAAGCGTGGAGCTGTCCATAAAAAATTTCCCACATTTGCTGCATTTGTAAGTTCTTTCCCTAGTGTGAACTTTCTGGTGCCGAATGAGGTGGGAATTTTGGCTAAAAACTCTCCCACACTCAGTGCACTCAAAAGACCTTTCTCCAAAGTGATTTCTCCGATGTCTAATATGATTTGAGTTGTGCCTAAAGAATTTCCCACATTCACTACACTCATAAGGCCTTTCACCAGTGTGAATTCTCTGATGTGTATCAAGTGTGGAGCGACACCTAAAGGATTTTCCGCAAATGCTGCATTCAAAAGGTCTTTCTCCAGTGTGAACTCTCTGATGACTCTTCAGTGTACAGCTGTCCACAAAGAATTTGCCACATTCACTGCATTCATAAGGCCTCTCTCCAGAGTGAACTCTCTGATGTCTATTCAGTGTGAAGCAATACCTAAAGAATTTCCCACATTCGCTGCATTCATAAGGCTTTTCTCCAGTGTGAACTCTCTGATGAATAATGAGTGTGGAAGTGTCCATAAAGAATTTCCCACATTCACTACACTCATAAGGCTTTTCTCCAGTGTGAACTTTCTGATGTCTAATGAGTGTGGAACGGTATCTAAAGAATTTCCCACATTCGTTGCATTCATAAGGTTTTTCTCCAGTATGAACTCTCTGGTGAATAATGAGTGTGCAGCTGTCCATAAAGAATTTCCCACATTCACAGCAATAAAAAGGCCTTTCTCCAGTGTGAACTTTCTGATGTCTAATGAGTGCTGAACTATACATAAAGTATTTCCCACATTCATTGCACCCATAAGGCCGTTCTCCAGTATGAATTTTCTTGTGACCAACAAGGTGAGCCTGTGTAAGGAAAGCCTTCCCACATTCACTACACAGATAAGGCCTTGGCCTGGTATGAATCCTCTGGTGCTGAAGTAGGTGAGACTTTCTAAGGAAAGCTTTCCCACATTCACTGCACTCATAAGGCCT